TATATATATATATATATAGTTGAAGGCTACACCATTCATGATTTTGTTTGCAGGTGGAGTCACCCTGGCAGGGCTAAAACACAACGTTGCTGTAGGAATTCTGTTCATAGATGCTTGGTTGCGTGGAAAGGGCCACTACATATACAAAGGGGCAGTTGAAGACTCTGCCACAGCGGAGATTTCACGTTCTCAAGTTTGGCAGTGGATTAGACACAGGGTAAGCTGGAGAAGTGCAATCAGTGCCTCTAATATCAATTTCTTAATAAGCAATGGAAGAGAGATTTGTGCTGCTCCTGATTGTTACTATTTGATATTTCAGGCTAAACTAGAGGATAATGGTGAAGTCATCACAAGAGGTCTCGTTCAGAAAATCATTGGGGACTTCGTTGATGCTACCATAATGTCCCAGGATCCTGTCCCTCTGGATTCACCGAAACACAAGGAAAGATTTAGAGCTGCTGCAGAAATATTTGAGGAAGTTGTAACTAAAAGAGACTTCCCTGAATTTATCACAACATATCTGAATCTCGACCACACATTCCTTAGTTATCAAAAAATGCACGAAGAATAATACTGATAGAAGATTAATCAGTGCAATCTGAAATTTGAATCTGCAAATGTATGTGGAATATTTCATATTATTATTTTTTTTTTTTTTACATATGAAAGTTATGTAAGGTCTAACAAAATATAGATTTATTACTGTTGCTTTTTTTCCAGAAAAGTGTAAATCAGTAATTTGATTTTGAGTTATGAAATATTAGATAATTATATATATAACTTTTTTTCATCAAAGATATGCATACTAGATTATAGATTATATGGCATTGAAGAAATTTTTATCCATACGCACATGCACACACACAAGCACACATATACACACACATATATATATATAAATCTGCTGATGAAAATATTTTTATATGAAAATATATGTATTATCACTTTCTTGTTTGTGTAATGTACACTTTAGTAAAGTGTCTCTTTGTAATAGACTATTACCTTTGTTGTATATAAAGATGCATATAATTTTCAGGTTGTGAGTAATGCATGGAACTTTTATATCATAATGAATTTTGTGATAATTGTGTAAATATTTTATAATTAATGCTGTGATTTGCATTTAATACAACACTTTTTTATACTGTCATATAAGAGAAGAAAGTAGTCTATGTAGATGAACGTAAAGAAAAGTTATTATCTTACATTTATACATATTGGAGTATTTTTGAGTCTATATACTAATTATGATACCTAAAGTTGGTGGTGTTATGGCATATTAAGATATGATATATATAATATTCTGTGATAAAAGTAAAATACCAACTGAAATATGTCCATGGTCAGGACAATGGAGTTTCTAAAACGAAGATCAGTTGCACAAATCTATAATTGATATGCAATATTTTGTTACTGTACTGTTACTTTTAGGTCTTAATGGCTCAGGATAGTTAACATTTTCTAACATGTTTCTAAATTTATACAGACATAGGGAAAGGTAACCATACTTCTTTAGAATAGTAATATTAGTTAAGTTGTTAACATGTTTCTTATTTCAACCATTGCAATAAAGTATATTTTCCAGTAAAGTAGTTTCATTATCCAAATACAGAGCCTGCTTGCAAATATTTAACTGGCAGTATTGCTTTCAGATTAAGCTTTTCACAGAGAGAAATTTTGAATCAAACACTGAGTCAAAGCCAGCCTTCAGTGTCATTCTTGCATTCATCTGTCTTATCTTAATTCCAATTAGATATAAACTTTTGTGTTAATTCTGTCCTACTGATGGTGTTTACTCATGATTTGCGAGTATTGATTGTGATTTGTCATGAGCATGCTGACAGTTTAATCTGACATGTAAATCATTACAAGCATACTAACCATGAAGAGGAAATCTGGAGAAGGGACAAAATTATTAAATTGTTAATAACACAAATAGCTGTCTTTGCTTTGCATTTGTACCTCTCCGTTTAATAATTATTTTTCTACTTGCCTTTTTAAGCACCCGTTTCACATGTAAATATCTATATTTATCAATCTCTCTCTCTCTCTCTCTCTATATATATATATCTACACACACACAGATATATATATATATATATATATATA